TGGCACCTGTGTGTGTGTGTGTGTTCCCAGTCCTTGAGTGTCCCAGGACCAGCAAGGAGAGTGGCTGGGCTCAGGTGCCTGAGGAGGGACATGTGGACACCCCCAGCCTCACAGAAAGACCTGAGACCCTCATAACCGTGGTCTTCTGGAGGAAGGCACGGGGGAGCTGCAGTGGTGGATTCTCAGAGAGCCCACTCTTCTCTCCCCTCCCTTTGGTGGACTCTGGGTGTCACCTTTCTCCAGGAGCCTCCCTGGCTTCTGCCCCTCCCCCATGACTCTCCTCTGCCTGATCTGGGAGAGGTGGAGGGCCTGCAAACTGGAACAAGGTACCCCCAGAAACTGGGGAGAGGGACGCCATGTCTCCAGGTGATCACATTTAAAAAAGATGGCCCCGGCGCTGTGGCATAGCGGGTAAAGCTGCTGCCTGTAGTACTGGCAACCCATATGGGCATCGGTTCAAGTTCTGGCTGCTCCACTTCTGACCCAGCTCTCTGTTATGGCCTGGGAAAGCAATTGAAGATGGTCCAAGTCCTTGGGCCCCTGCACCCCTATGGGAGACCTGGAGAAGTCTCCTGGCTCCTTGCTTTGGATTGGCATGGCTCTGGCCTTTGCGGCCAACTGGGGAGTGAACCGGTGGATGGAAGACCTGTCTCTCTCTCTCTCTCTCTCTCTCTCTGCGCCTCTCCTTCCCTCTCTGTGTAACTCTTTCAAGTAAATAAATAAATCTTAAAAACACACACACACACACAAACAGATTGCCTGATTGCCAAAGCCACGTAGAGGTGGAGCCTGAATTCAAACCCAATCTCTCAGGTTGAGTTGGAACCTGGGGAGGAATCAAATGTTTTTCAAATTCCAGTTGGATTTGGAAATTGGTGCAGAACGCTATGGGAAACCTGCAAAATATTTCACTTGTCTAAAGAGGAGTTCAAGTTCAGCAAGGTTAATTCCTTCTCTTTGCCCTTTGCTGGCATCCAAGTTCAGCCTTCATCTCCTCCAGCGATGTGTTTTAGAATAAAAGGGCCAAGTCAGATGATTGCCGATCATAAGCTTTGCACACACACGCCGTGATGATTTCGGTGTCCTCACGGCCTTTGCAGCGTGCGGGGAACAAGCTGAGTCCAGTTCCCCACTGTCAGCCTGCTCATCGCGGGCTGCTATGCGGTGTGGGCTGCAGTGCGCATGCTCAGCGGCTGCTCACGGTGGCCGCCTACCTTCTCTGTCCTCCCGTCGTCCGTCGTCCTTGCAAAGGATTGATTCAGTGCGGGAGGAGGTTTCTTTGTTTTCTTTTCTCAAAAATGTGGTCCTGCATTTTGGGATTGGTACTTCTAGAGTATGTCTGATGTCTTTTACAAGTGTGTTTTCCAAAGAACATAAGATTTGCTAGATGGCATTTTGATACGGTACAGCATGGATTGTAAAATTTAAAAACTGTGGTCAATCCCGTCTCCAGGCTGACATTTCCATTCTCATTGACCTGATTAATTGGAGGCGTTGTCTGCAGATGTGTGTAAAAGACATTGCATCACAACTGGGATCCATCTAGGAGGGTCTCGTGTCCATGAAATACTGTGACTGGTTTGTTAATGATAGTTGCTATGAGGGATCTCTGCCCTGAGAGTCTCCAAGTGTCCATGCATGAATGGATGAAGAAAATGTGGTACAAATGCACAATGGAATATTATTCAGCCATGAAAATGGATGAAAATCTTGCCACTCGTGAAAACACGAATGAACCTAGCAGACATTATGTTAAGCCATGCACAGAAAGACAAATATCGCGTGGTCTCACTCACGTGGAATATTAAAAAATAAAATAAAAACTAACCTTACAGAATACACTGACTCAGAAACCAGTTTTATTGCTTTATTTTATGTCCTCCACTGCTATCCAACACCTGCATGGTTAGACCCTTCATCCCCAGTCTGGGACAAAAAGTCCAGTGAACCGCTGAGCTTTTCTGGTCATTTTGAGACATTAACAGGCTAATTCTGTCTATGATCATAACATCAGTCGCTGTCCCATTGAAATTCGCTTCCCTGTCCAAGGGCAGCTTACCTGGAGCTCAGAAACCTTCAGGGGAGGTGGGAAGCACCCTTGCTGCGTCACTGTTTCTGCACCTGCCTGCCCACCTCTCTTTTTCTTTTTCCTCTCCACTCATGTGGCTTCCAGGTTGGGACAAAAAGCAGGATGAGGAGGAGCAAAGGCTGGCTCTTCATCCTGTCACTCTGAGTGACGGGTCCGCCCTGCAGGCCCTTGTCATCTCAGGCCTTCCTACTCCAGTGTACCCCAGTGCGGAGGATTCTTCGGGGGGCAGGCCACTCTTGGGTAAGTCCCTAAAGAATCGCACCATTGTCAAAACAAAACTGGTCAGGATAGTCATCAAAAATGAAAACTAAAAAAAAAAAAAAAAATAGAAGCCATTCTCCCCAAGTCAGACTAGCAAATACTTCATTAAAGATTTTATTTTTTTATTTATTTGACAGGTAGAGTTATGACAGAGAGAGGGAGAGACAGAAAGGTCTTCCATTTGCTGGTTCACTCCCTAGATGGTCAAAACAGCCAGGGCTGAGCCAGGTGAAGCCAGGAGCTTCTCCCAGGTCTCCCCCATGTGGGTACAGGGGCCCAAGCACTTGGGCCATCTTCGGTTGCTTTCCCAGGCCATAGCAGAGGGCTGGATAGGAAGTGGAGCAGCCAAGACTCGAACCGGAGCCCATATGGGATACCGGTGCTGCAGGTGGAGGCTTAGCCTACTGTGACACAATGTCGACCCCAGCAAATATTTTAACCTATGAAACCATTCAAGGTTGGTAAGGATGCAGGTGCAGGTTTGTCCTCCTAGCAGGCATGTGAAATAAAACACTGTATCTGGGAGGTTCTTTGAAATACGCATCAGAGTGTTAAAATATGCACGCCAGGCAGCTGGAGAAAGCTTACATCTCTGGAAGCCTTGAATTTCAACACAAGCCATGTAAGAGGTGTTCTGCAGGATGAAAGGGAAACAGTGCTGAGATGAGCCTCCAAGTCAAGGCCATCTAGCAAAAGGGCCAGCTGCATCCCATCAGAGGGCTGATGCCACCCAGAAACTTGAACCATGAAGAGTCCCTGTCTTCCCCCCGCATCTGCTGTTCTGAGGACTGGACTTCTTGGCACATTCTTTGCTATCACAGGTAAAAGTTCCACTCGTGCTCAAAAATGGCTTGAGTTGTATTTTTCCTTCAGAAATGTGTTCGTTTCATAATGAGAGAAAAAATGGTGGTGTTTGCTGTAATTTGACCCCCGCAAGTCATGAAGGAATTTGATCCCCAAAATCTTTTTTTTGTTTTTTTTTTTTTTTTTTTTGACAGGCAGAGTGGACAGTGAGAGAGAGAGACAGAGAGAGAAAGGTCTTCCTTTGCCGTTGGTTCACCCTCCAATGGCCGCCGCTGCAGCCGGCGCACCGCACTGATCCTGGCAGGAGCCAGGAGCCAGGTGCTTTTTCCTGGTCTCCCATGGGGTGCAGGGCCCAAGCACCTGGGCCATCCTCCACTGCACTCCCTGGCCATAGCAGAGAGCTGGCCTGGAAGAGGGGCAACCGGGACAGAATCCGGCGCCCCAACCGGGACTAGAACCCGGTGTGCCGGCGCCGCAAGGTGGAGGATTAGCCTATTGAGCCACGGCGCCGGCTCATGATCCCCAAAATTAAGTGTTAATGGTGGTAGGAGAGTGGAAATGAAATCCACTTATGGTGTTCAGCATGGATCTCCCATGATAGAATCCTGTGGCTTTATAAGCAGAGGGAGAGAGATGCATAGACAGACGCAGGTGCACACACATTGTGCTTATTGCTGTGTGGTGCCACTTAACTGTCTCAGGGCTCTACAACCAAGAAGGCCACCTCCCTCCCTCTGTCTCTGTCTCTCTCTGTCTCTCTATCCCTCTCTCCCTCTCTCCCTTTGCTCTGACTTTCAAATGAATAAATAAATCTTTTAAAAATGCAATTGTGACATAACGGGTAATCCCACCACCTGTGATGCCAGCATCCCATATGGGTGCCAGTTCAAGACCTGGCTGCTCTGTTTCCAATCCAGCTCCCTGCTTATGCACCTGGGAAAGCAGCGGAAGATGACCCAAGTCCTTGGGCCCCTGCACCCATGTAGGAAATCCAGAAGAAGCTCCTGGCTCCTGGCTTCAGCCTGGCCCAGCCCCGGCAGTTGCAGCCATTTGGGGAGTGAACCAGTAGATGTCACCCACATGGGAGAGCCAGATAGTGTCCCTGGCTCCTGGCTCCTGGCTTCAGCCCAGCCCGGTCCAGAATGTTGCAGGCATTTCTGGAGTGAGCCAATGGATAGAAGATCTCTCTCTCTCTCTCTCTCTCTCTCTCTCTCTGACTCTCTCTCTGTCTCTGTCCGTCTGTCTCTCTCTCTCTCTTTGTCTTATTCTCTCTCTCTTCCTCCTTCTCCCTCTTCCTTTCTCTCTGCCTTTCAAATGAATAAATATTAACAATAAAGTTGCTCAATATCTTATGTCATTAGGGAATTGCATGCTAAAAAATCTGTGAGATGCCATAACACACCTGTTAGAGTAGCTAAAGTAATGAAGCATTGGTAATATCAAATTCTTTCTAAGATGGGGAACAGCAGGAGTTCCTGTTCATTGCTGGTGGGAATGGAAATTAGTACGGCCATTTTGGAAGACAGTATTGTGGTTTCTTACAAAGTCAAACATACTTTTATAGTCAGGTTCCTATTCATCCAAATGAATTGAAAACTTATGTCCACCCAAAAACCTGCACAAAGATCTTTACAGCAGCTTTCTTCATCAGAATTCCAAAACTTGGAAGCAACCATGATGTCATTCAGGAGATAAATTAGCCAGCTTTTCATGACTACCACTACAATAACTGACAGGAGCTACTTATCAAAGAAGGTTTATTGTGGCTCATGGTTTTGGAGACTCACAGTCCAAGATCAAGTGACCCCATTAGTCTGGTGTCTGATGAGGACAGTGGCTGGTGGAATTCAAGGAAGGGGAGGGTCTCGTGGTGAGCCAGGAAGCAGAGGGAAGGGTCGTGCTCATCCTGTGTCTGTGGTCTCTCCTTATAAGGCCGCCATGATTCATCATGGACTTCCTCCCTAACAACCCAACCCAATCTTTCCAAGGCCCTACCTTCAGATACTTTCCTCAGATTAAGTTCCATCCTTAATCCATTACCGTAGATTGGGGATCAAGTCTCCAACATGTGGGCCTTTGGAAACACCCAAACCGTAATAAGAATGGAATAGATAAATAAACTGTGAGACATCCAGATTGTAGGATATTACTCAGCACTACAAGTGAATAGCTATTCAAGTCATGGAAAGATAGGGAGGAGCAGTTACTGAATGCTATTAAGTGAAGGAAGCAAATCTGAAGAAGCCACATACTTCATGTTTTGAACTGTAACATTCTGGAAAGGGAAAAACTATATAGACAGTTAAAAAAATTAATGGTTGTCAAAGTTAGAGAAGCGGAGATGGAGGAATGAATAGGAGCAGCATAGGGGGGTTTAGGGCAGTGAAATCATTCTGATCATTCTGTATGATACTATTTTGGTGCATACATGTTACTATACATCTGTCTAAACCTATAGAATGTATAACATGAAGACTGAACTCCAATGTATGTTATGGACCTTAATTAATGTGATAATAGTAGATATCTGGTAAATGTCATAATTTATATAAATATATTATAAATATAAAAATAATTTATCACATTAATGCAAGACACTAATAACATGGGAAATTATGGAGAAGGGTATATGAGAACTCTATGTTCTACTCAGTTTTTCTGTAAACTCAAACTGGTCTAAAAAATGGTCAATTTTTTTAAAAAAAGGAATTAGTGGTTTCACTGAGTTAGTGATTCAAAATAGTAGATCCAGGATTTTGACATGGTCTTAGATAGCTATAATCTGTGGGGCACTCTATCTTCCACTAAGATCCTTAACTCATAGGACTGCATGTGTTTGTTTGTTTGTTTTTAAATATTTATTATTTATTTGAAAAGCAGAGTTACAGAGAGGCAGAGAGAGACAAAGAGAGGTTTTCCATCTGCTTGTTCACTCCCCAAACGGCCACAACAGCCAGGGCTGGGCCATCAAAGTCAGAGCCAGTAGCTTCATCCGAGTCTCCCACGTAGACACAGGGACCCAAGCATTTGGGTCATCTCCGATGCTTTCCCAGGCACATTAGCAGGGAGCTGGGTCAGCCGTGGGGCAGCTGGGACTCAGACTGGCATCCATATGGGATGCTGGCGCTGCAGGTGGCAGTTTAACCTGCTGTGCCACAGCACCGGCCCCAACTGCATGTGTTAATTCTGTTGTGAACGTGTCCATGCATGGTTAACTAGAAAATTTTCAAGACCAGCTGCATAAACAGTTTTCTGAATGCTGGGTCTCCACTGTCCCCAGTGGGCCTAGGGGTTGTCTTTAGGGCACTGGTGGGGTACCCTTGGCAGGCACTTCTCACCATCTCTCTCTTCGCCTTGCACAGTCCACTCACCCTCTCAAGCCTGGCGTTGGCTTCTTTGATTTGTCCTGAAAACTCCACATCTTTGAGCTTCCTCTGGTTTCATGTGTGAGAGAAAAAGTAGTACAATGGTGCTTAGTTCCTATAAAAACACTATGCTCCTGCCCCAAGAGTGCATTGATGCTGGATGGAGAGGCTGTAATTGTGCATGTCTTGGCAACAGGAAGCCTGGGAGAGTACTCAAGCCAAGGGCAATCAGAACTCAGAGTGAGCATTTGTGTTAATGGTTTCACAAGAAGCTGTGAGGCTGCACCTTGGAGGAGGGTTGGAGAGAGATGTGCAGTACAGTCTGTGCAGACGTATCAGTCTTGCCCTTCCAACCCAGGCACAGGCTGCATCCCGGGCATCTGATATGGCCAGATCTGCCTGACAGCCAAGTCCCACAGAATCCTTACTGTGAGAGCAGACAGTGGGGAGTGGGGACAGGACAATGGAGTGGGAAAACCGGCTTGCCTAAGAGATCAGCACAGGTCAAAGGGAGCCATGTGTTGACCAGAAAGACAATGGGAGAAAGATCCCAAAAGCATTTCAGTGGTCCTCCCGGTTTCCCTCCCCTCACAAGGCTAGGAGCCTAGGAGGAAGAATTGTTCTGTGAAAACCCAGGGCACTTTCAGCAAGTGTGCTCAAAACTGCCTTGGGATTTGTTTCCCTGGGCAAAGCACTTGGGGGCTGCAGCCCTGGCTCAAGTGGAACCAGATGCAGCCTGTGCTGGTGGCAGACCTAGGCATGATCCATAGCAGGCTGGTTTTGAAAGTGTGCAGAATGCAAGCATTTATGGGGTCATAACTTCCACTGAGATTTCAAAGGAAGCCTGGGAGGGCAGGCAGAGTTCCACCCTAAGGTTCTAGCCCCTGTGTGGACACTCAGGTGCGGTGATGAGTAGTGAAGCCATCCGAGAAAAGCCAATGTGGATATCTCAGAAGGGTACAATGGTCGGTATCTGCCTGGCAAAGCCCAGGACAGCAGCCTGCAGCCTCTGAGAGCAGTGTGGGAACAAAGAGGCCGACAGAGCCACAAAAGCATGGAGTCTCCACCTGGATGTCAAAGGATGTCAGACAACTTGGGAGTAGAGACCTGGCAAAGGATCCAGGCCCCTGCAGAGAGCCCCCACGAAGCCAATGCCTTGTGCAGTGCAGACATCAAACTCCAACCTGTGAGAGCCAAAGCCTGGGCTGTGAGTAGCAAAGCTGGAGGCGCAGGGCTGCCCAGTGGGGAACCCCCACCCCAGTGTGTCCAAGATGTTGGAAATGGGCTTTAGGAACAAGCCCCACTGGGTTTCAGTCTTGCTTTGGTCTGGTGAATCCTTTTTATTTCCCTCTCTCCCCCTTCTGGAATGGAAATCTATACCCTGTACCTACCTGGTCAGTCTTGGAAATATGTAACTTGGGACTCACAACTGGAGTTTTGCAGACTCACAACTGGAGTTTGCCTTGAGTCTCAGCTGAGATTTTGACTTTGGACTTTTGAATTAACGTTGAACTGAAATAAGACTTTGAAACTATTGGGGCTGGAATGATTGTAGGTTACATGTGAGGTCAGTTGAGGCAGATGCTATGGTTTGAGCAGGCTTTGGCTCCCAAACTCATGCAAAGCCATGAGTTGAGAGTAGACATTTAATCCAGTTATAGTGTTTAGGAAGTAGGCCTGGTGGGGAAATACCCTAGGAAGGCATTCTCATGATAGGCTTGGTTATAAAAGCCTGAGTTGGGCTCAGGTGTTCTCTCCCTGCCTCCTGACGTACCCTGTGATTCTTCCTCCATACACATTTCACCATTGCCATTCTCTGGCCTCACCCAACAGCCAAGCCAATGCTGAATCTTGAGCTGTGAACCTCCAAAACTGTGAGCTGAAATAAGCCTCTATGCTTCACAAGTAGCTTGTCTTAGGTTTTTTGTTGCAGTGACAAAAAAAGTTGCCTAATACATAAAACAATGTACATGACGCAAATATGAGCTGTTCTATGGTATTTTTCTGGAATAACAAGAAGAACAAAGATCTGTACATACTCAGGACAGAATTACTATTTTTGGAAATATTTTCCACATGCAGCTAGTTGAATCCCAAACACAGAACCTGTACATGCAGAAGGCCCGCAGTATGCATCTAGCTTCTCAGAGATCCATGTTGAGTTAGTGAGAGCTGAGCCTCAGCAGCCAACCACTCAACGATCTAAGTCAGAAAAGCTTGGAACATTTGAGTGAATTTGCAGTCAGAAAAGTGAATCCCTTTTATTAGGAATGTTCTTTATAGAAAGTAATTTTTAAACTGTAAGCATTTTATTGGAATGTCCCAGGAAGGGAGATCCCAGAGATAAGTCTCCTCACAAATGGACATCATTCATACAACGTGCATTACTTGCAATGGGATGTGCAAATGCTATTAGGGTTCTCTTCAGCTAACATCTCTAAGGTCTTGTTAGTTTATTTTAGTGAATGGAATAAATAGTGTAATAGAGTCACTTATCACCTCTGCTCCTCAGCCTGCATTTTCATCTAAGGTGTTAAACCCCTAACTATGGAATTCTCTAGAGTTTTCTGAGACTTACACAGTTGGAGAAAAATATTTCACAGTGGACATTAATGGAGATCACCGAGGAACAAGCCCAGTCGGAGCTGCGGAACTCAAGGGCATCTTCTCAGGGAAGTATTTTCCAGCCATGCCTGCAGAGGTGAGATGACACTAGTCTGCTGCCTAAGGAGACACCTGGGCCCTTCCCACACCTGGGTCCTTCGTGTGGTCTCCACTGGCCACCATGTCCTGTCCAGTACCTCCCGGGGAAGACAGTGTAGTTTGCGTGTCAGAATGGCAGAAATAATGTCTTCAAAGTGCCCATGCCTGCTCTCTCATCTGAGCCTCACAAAAGCCCTGTGGGATAAATGCCAAGAGCATGCTTGATAGCCAAGGAAACTGAGCCTGAAGAAGCTGGATGACCTGCTTAAAGTAGTGAATAATTTCAATTATTTTGAAAAGATTTATTTATTTATTTGAAAGTCAGAGATAGAGAGAGAGGTCCTCTATTCGTTGGTTCACTCCTCAGATGGCCAAAATGGCCTGTGCTGGGCCAGGCTGAGATGAGGAGCCAGGAGCTTCATCCAGGTCTCTCTTGGGTGCAGGGGCCCACGCACTTGGGCCATCTTCTGCTGCTCTTCTCAGGCCATTAGCAGGGAGCTGGATTGGAAGTGGAACCGGCAGGACATGAACCAGCACCCACATGGGATGCTGGTGTTGCAGGTGGTGACTTCACCCACTCTGCCACACCACTGGCCCCAAAATAGTAAACAATAAAGCCAGAATTTTCCCCCAGGTTGTCTACTGCTCAAACCTGTACACCATCACTACTGGTTTTCATTACCTATGTAACATGTGTCAGAAGGAACATACCGCATCAGCAGGGATGTGCTCTGTGCGACCGACAGCAGACTGGACAACAAGGGGATGTTTGCGACTATTTTAGAATGGAAAAATCCATATTTTGAAATCCTAAAAAAAATGTTGACGTAGCTGACTCTACTAAATGATGGCAAACAGGGCCAATGGAGAAAGAGGATGAATCTCAGCGTCACGTATTTAGAGTGATATTAGTTGAAGTCAACTTTTACAAACCAACAAGGAAAAAGTAAGAGAGCATCAGAAATCGATAGCACAATTTTAGTGTTAGCTGCATTTAAGTCACAGAGCTCTGACTCATTCAACATGTGATGTCAGGCCAGGCAGGTTACAAGGGGGCAAACACGTATTTTGGGGAAAAGTTGAAAAATGAATGATGAATTTCAATATGCCACATCTTGGTAACTCATCCCTGTGGACAGAGATGAAAGAACTCAGAAGGGGGCCAGCGTTGTAGCACAGTCAGTGAAGCCGCCGCCTGTGGCGATGCCGACATCCCATACGGGTGCTGGTTCCAATCCCGGCTGCTCCATTTCCAATCCAGCTCCCTGCTAATGGCTTGACAAAGCAGCGGAGGATGGCCCACGTGCCTGGCCCCTGAACCCACGTGGAAGACCTGGAAGATGTTCCTGGCTCCTGGCTGCCATCTGCCCAGCAGACAGAAGACCTCCGCCGCCTCTTCTTCTCTCTCTGTAACTCTGACTTTCAAATAAATAAATAAATCTTACAAACAAAAAGAACTCATCAGAGACCTTCCTGGAGCCCTGAAGAATCTGTCTGTGTTCTGAAGTCTTAAGAGCTGGCTAGAAGCTGAGGCAGTGTGCAAATCACTGACAACAAGCGGCAAATGAGGATTGGGAAATCAAGAAAGGAAGAAAGTCTGAGTCTTTAGAATCTCTGTGCCTGCGATTCCCACAGAGCAAGGAGTGAGTGATCTACACCAACACAGGGAAAGAAGGAAGTGTCTAACTGCCAGACATGAGAGTCTCTGATGGTTCTCAGTGGTCCAGTCCAACCCACTCCCTTGATACATACAATGAAAGCACCTGCCCATCCTTGGATTTCCTGTGTCTTCTTTGTTCACCCTTCATCCTTTTGATCTAACAGCTATGACAATGTCCTTTGGTGCTGCTGTTGGGAGACTGCCTGTTAAATCATGTAACTGATGTTGAGAGGCGTCATTTGATCAAGCACTCTTGGGAGCCATGCCACAAAACAGCAGGGTTGATTTTGCTTCATTCTGCTTGCATTTGTTGTCATTTTTTGCTGGGAAGGGTGCGTGTACAACAATGTACACAAGCTCCTTCCCTGAACTATGAAAATGTTCTGTTGTTTTCTCCCTGCAGAATTGCAAGAAGCTCATAAAAGAGGAGAGATCATAAGTTGGGTTGTGAGGTTCCAGCAGGCCAGGGAAGATGAACAGTGAGGCAAAGCTGCTGGATTTGTAGCTAAATTTATGGCAAGTTCTGGGCTGCATCTTGCAGGCATGGGAGCTATGGGCAGGAGGAACTCCAGAGTGTGCTCTTTGCCTCTTCACAGTGAACCCAGCTTTTTTTTTTTTTTTTTTTTTGACAGGCGGAGTGGACAGTGAGAGAGAGAGACAGAGAGAAAGGTCTTCCTTTGCTGTTGGTTCACCCTCCAATGGCTGCCGCGGCCAGCGTGCTGCGGCCGGCGCATCGTGCTGATCCGAAGCCAGGAGCCAGGTGCTTCTCCTGGTCTCCCATGCGGGTGCAGGGCCCAAGGACTTGGGCCAACCTCCACTGCACTCCCGGCCCTAGCAGAGAGCTGGCCTGGAAAAGGGGCAACCGGGATAGAATCCGGTGCCCCAACTGGGACTAGAATCCGGTGTACCGGCGCCGCAAGGCGGAGGATTAGCCTAGTGAGCCACGGCACCGGCGTGAACCCAGCTTAAGCCGTTATGGGTCCCTGCGCACTTCCTGGCCAGAGTGACTCCACTGCACTGATAACTGCCTGGGTTATTGCACCCATGGGCCGGGGTCCCTGTGCTGATGGGCCAGACGGCGGGGGTTGTAACCATCGGCCACACGACTCCACTTTCTGTTCAGGCTTCCAATCTCCAACACTCTCTTCCTAGATAACTGGGGCCTTGGGGTGTCATGGGATAGCCAATTTTCTTTTTGAAATTCACTCTTTACTTTTACCGGAAAGGTAAAAACCACTTGTGTGGATTGAGGGTGATTCATCTCCACTGTAAAGATGAAGTGTCTTATAGGATACAAAATACTTTTATTCAACAATAATAAAAAAAACTTAGTTTATTTTTATTGACTTCTTAAATACAAAGTTATCCATGCTTGTTATGATCCATTGGAGGGGGGAGTTGACATTTGAAAGTTTGTTCCCATCTACCATCTCACCCCATTTCTCTGCAGCAAGAGAGTCACAGCCTGATGCACACCCTTCCATCTCTCTCTCTCTCTCTCACTCTCTCCCTCTCTAAGATTTATGTATCTATTTGAAAGTCAGAGTTACACACAGAGAGAAGGAGAGACAGAGAGAGAAAGAGGTCTTCCATCTGCTGGTTCACTCCCCAATTGGCTGCAACTGCCGGAGCTGCACCGATCCGAAGCCAGGAGCCAGGAGCCAGGAGCTTTTTCCGGATCTCCCACGTAGGTGCAGAGGCCCACCTTGGGCCATCTTCTACTGCTTTCCCAGGCCATAGCAGAGAGCTGGATCAGAAGCAGAGCAGCCAGGACTGGAACCGGTGCCCATATGGGATGCTGGCACTACAGGTGACAGCTTTACCCACTATGCCACGGCACTGGTCCCCCATACCTTTCTCAAACTGCATTCACACACGTTCCAATATACATACCCAGGCCCAGAGAGGCTTAAGTTTTGGTCTCTCCTGGAATCCTCTTCCACCTTCCCAGTTTGAAATAGGGTTTTTACCACTTCGTCCACCCTGTGCTTGTCCCTGCCTTCAGGGTTTCTGCAGTAGCCATTACGTAATCTGGGGAAGAGAATGAAGCAGGGTGGAGGAGCGACCCAGCCCAGGTGGTTGTTGGGCTTCCTGGTGGAGCTGCTCTCTGTGTCCTCTGTGGCCACTGCTCAAATAAATCCGAGTCACGGTATCTCTGTCTGATATGAGCCTGCTCAAGCTATGAGGATTGACAGCTGGGATACCTGTGTAGACTCTGGTACAAAAAACAGATTCCAGAGACTTGTGACCAAGCAGGAGAAGCTGGAGAATGACTGTTGCAGTGTGTTAGCTGGTTCTGGAATATTCAGCGGCAGTGAGTGGATAGTCAGCACTCTTACTTCTCCCCGGCCTCCCGCTGAGGCTGGTGTCAGGGCTCATTAGCACCTCCGCTGGCTGCTGCGGGCCCTTGTTGGGAAGAAGAGGTGAGAGCAGTCGATTCTGCCACTCATTAGCAAGTCTGCACGGCCAGTGGTGGGAAGATTGAATCTATTGGCAAAATGAGGCTTGATTCTCCGGCGGCACAGCTAACCCTTCTAGTGCTTTCTCCAACAGCCTGTGTACTGGGTGTGGTGGCCTCATGGAGCAATGAGAGAGACGGGACATAATGTAGAAAGGCTACTTACTCCATGCTGAGCCCTTACTTCTCTGTTGGTCCTTGAGAGGTGCAGACTGAGGGGAAACGAGTCTCCCAAAGTGGAGACGGCATCAAGCCAGTGGTCAAGGACTAACTCCTTTTTTTATTTTTTATTTTTTATTTTATTTTTTGACAGGCAGAGTTAGACAGTGAAGAGAGAGAGACAGAGAGAAAGGTCTTCCTTTTTCCATTGGTTCACCCAAGTGGCCACTACAGCTAGCGCGTTGTACTGATCCGATGGCAGGAGCCAGGTGCTTCTCCTGGTCTCCCATGGTGTACAGGGCCCAAGCACTTGGGCCATCCTCCACTGCACTCCCGGGCCACAGCAGAGAGCTGGACTGGAAGAGGGGCAACTGGGACTAGAACCCAGGGTGCCAGCGCCGCAGGCGGAGGATTAGCCTAGTGAGCCGCAGTGCCGGTAAGGACTAACTCTTAAAATTAAAAAAAAAAAAAAAGCAACGTTTTCAATAATTAATTGAATTACAAAACCAAACTTTCAACCCAGTCTTCTCAACTTGGCAGTCTATCTGTGATAAATGTCAGATAAAAACTTACATCTTAACCATCTGATGATCCCATGTTTAAAAAATTAGACTAACCATCTCACAAATATATGGAGGAAAGAGGAACAGTCGTGTTGACCTAACTAATGAAGCTAAGAGAAGAGTGGACGCTGGAGGAGAATTGGCACCTTGCCAAGCCAGGTGAGCAGCTCCTAGAGTAGGAACCTGTAGGACTTGAACCTCCCATTTCCTGGATAAAAATGATACCTTGCTAGGGGTACCTGTCACGGCTCACACACCTACCTCATTCGCTCTTCCTTGCTCACTGCAGCCTTTACTTAAGTGAATCTGAAAAACATGGCATGTATACAGCATTAAAAAAAATCTCACATAATAATTCCCTTTTAAAAAAAGTTTTATTTATTTACTTGAGAGGTACAGACAAACAGACACACAGAGCTCTCATAGGCGGATTCATTTCCTAAATGCCTGTAACAGCCAGGGCTGGGTCAGGCTGCAACCAACATCTGGGCACTTCGTACATGTCTCCCACATGGATGGCAGGGACCCAACCCCTGAAGCCATCATCTGTTGCCTCCCCAGTCAGAGGCAGGAGGGGGGACAGTAGCAGGAAGCCGGAATCAGGAGCAGATCTGGGGCTGAAATCCAGCCACTTCGATATGACATGCAGGCATCAAAAATGGAGTTTAGAACTGTCAGGTCGAATGCAAATGTCACTCCATATTCTACTTTCTAGATGCAGGTTTGTTATTAGAAAATTATTGAAGAAAGTTGAAATGTATGCTGTTACTTTGGTGAATCACATCTTCCAGTTAATACTTAGAAAATAACCACTGTTTGAGCTACTAGCATTGTGTTGGTGGTACCTATCACACAAGGGGTTGCCCTGTCTCAGAGTGCTAAATCAATCTCAGGGTTAGGGGAAGCGGGGTGGGGGGGAGGCTAAAACAACAGGAAGAGCGGACAACCTGGGATCCTCGTCCTCCCATCCGTGCTGCCTTCACTTGCCCCATGTGCCTGGCACTGGGTCCTGACACACAGTGCATCACCAGGGCTCACCGGGACTCCAGGGGGAGTCAGGTGTTGCGGCAGTGTGACCACCACGAAGAAACAGCTCTGCTGACCCATCTTCTGCACATTCTGGGATCATGCCTCTCCAATTTTTACTTCAATCCAGACTCGCAGTCAGTAATCAGTGCCACTAGAAGCCAAAATATTCTTGTGAGGACATGGCCGCACCTGGACTATTTCACCCTTAGGCGACTCAAAAGCATGCAGTTCCACCAGGCAAGACCATTGCAATGATGCGATGGTTCTGAGCATATAACAAGCCCTGTTTACTTCTCCTTCATGGTTGATCTTGATTTCTATTTCAATTTTTCCACTAACCGAGCCCAAACCTTCCAGCTCCCATTTCTTGGCAGTAGTGTGACACATTCGACTGCGCAGTACCCTGGCTCTCCCCAGGTGCTTGTCTTCATTGCCCTGTGTGTCCCCAGGACAGGGCGATGCCGCTGCAGTCTTTCCCTGCTGGTCTGGTTGCACCTGGAAGCTACTGTGCAGTTAGGCGGGGCCGCTGCATGGCATGGTTCAGCAGCAAATCAATGACAAAACAGGGTTCTTCTCATCTTGTGTATGCCTCGTTGATCACATATTCTTCCGTAGAGTGTCAACAGCTTTTTGTGTATCAGCTATGATGGGCAGGTGAGCCGGGGGGCTCAGATCCTGGGATCAAGTGTTTTATTTTTTTTTTTTTTTTTTTTTTTTTTACAGGCAGAGTGGACAGTGAGAGAGAGAGACAGAGAGAAAGGTCTTCCTTTTGCCGTTTGTTCACCCTCCAATGGCCGCCGCGGCCAGCGCACCGCGCTGATCTGAAGGCAGGAGCCAGGTGCTTCTCCTGGTCTCCCATGGGGTGCAGGGCCCAAGGACTTGGGCCATCCTCCACTGCACTCCCGGGCCACAGCAGAGAGCTGGCCTGGAAGAGGGGCAACCGGGACAGAATCCGGTGCCCCGACCGGGACTAGAACCCCGTGTGCCGGCACCGCTAGGTGGAGGATTAGCCTAGTGAGCCATGGTGCCAGCCCCTGAGATCAAGTTTTTTAAAGTATTAGAGACAGGGCTGAGCATTTGGCATAGTGGTTAAGATCCCCACATCCTGGATCAGAGTGCCTGGGTTCAAGTCCTGGCTCTGCTTGTGTTCCATCTCCCTGCCAGCGTGCACCCTGGGAGGCAGCATGTGATGGTTCAATGGTTGGGTCCCTGCCTCCCATGTGGGAGACCTGAATCCCTGGCTTCTGGCTTCCGCCTGGCCCACTCCTGGCTGTTGCAGGCACGTAGGCAATGAACTCCAGAATCGGATGCAGGTGTCCCAAGTGGTGGCTTATACACTCACTGTTCCCCACGGCAGCTCCTGCTTTTGTTTTCAAGCTCAGAACGAAAAGCTCTTTCAAGTTCAAAGACTTGCAGACAGGTCCTCTCAAGGTAGTAGTTTGTTCTTTGTTAAGTGATCGTTTTTGGTATTAAAAAAAAAAAAAAGTTGCTGTTAGAAAATTCATTGAAATTTCCACAAAAGCAAGTGTCTAATTAAGATCTTGCCAAGTTCAGAGACACATTAATAAATGCCTGAAGCAGCTGGAGGCACTACGACTTTTGTTTTTGAAATTAAATCTGCCTCTTACATTATTAAAGTCCCCATCTTTGCTCATTTACAAACCTGGTGTCTTAAACCAGAATACACGACGTCTCATTAGAGTTCATTCTCTTCGGCAGGACTTTGGGAATGAAGTATTAGGAAAGATTGTCGGGAAATATTGTCAAAGATTGGTCAATGGGCACAAAAGATCACCGAAGCCTCTGTGTGATGTGCTGGGCGCTGCTCAGTGGATCCTTTCCCTCTCAGGAATGGGCAGGCTCAAGCAGAAGGAAGCCGTGCGTAACAGAAACGAGGCTTAACCACGGCAATGCAAGCAATCGTTGTCCAACAGAGACATAATGTAAAAATTTTGAACTAGTAGGAAACTACCATCATGTATTGTCTTACAGGATATTAACCAGCTTTGAATCCTTGGGCATTTGTGATTACACTCACACATACCCCTCCCCGCCCCCAACATGTTTTATTCTTTAAATTTTCCTTTGATTCACTTTCAACATCTTACTGATCTCCTAATTAATCAACAGAATAAAATAAAACACTTGACCTGTTGACCATGTATTTCTATGAGACTGTGACTTTATCTTCTTGGATATTATACCTTAGAAAGACTCACCTACAAGTACAGTGATTTCTTCTTTCTCTGAGAAGATCTGGTAACAGCCTACATCCCTCAGCTGAACTCGAGTAAGGTTGCTAGAAATAGCAAAAGACAAGACAGGACACCAGGTTACATTAGAGTTTCAGAGAGGGAAACAAACATATTTTTAGTATGTCTCGCACAATAAACTAAAGTTTTGTATGTACTTATAATTTTAAAAACTATATTGTTCATCAGAAATTAAAAGGTAACTAGATGCCCTACATTTTATTTTTTAATATTTATTTATTGATTTACATTTGAGAGGCAGAGCTAGACAGACAGAGATCTTCCATGCACTGTGTTCACTCTCCAAATGTCCCCAGCATCTGAAGCCTGGAGTCAGGAATGAATCCGGGACTCTCGCATATGTGGCAGGGACCCAAGGCACTATAACCCCCTATCACTACCTGCTACCTTGAAGCTGGAGTCAGAAGCAAAGCCAGTACTCCAGCCCCAAGCACTCCAATATGAGATGCGGGTATCCCAAGTGGCGCTTTTTAAACACTGAACCAAATGTCCATCCCCAGGGGTCATGCATTTTACTTGGCAACCTTACACTCAAGTCAATCAGTGTTCCTGAAGTGACATTACTTATAATGAAAGTAAAAACAAACAAAAAACCCCAATATATAAAGTACAGGTGGACTCAAAAGTTCCTGGAAAGAATGGAATTAAAAAGCAAGTTTATTTTGGTGGAAAAAATAATTGAAATCCCTGCATGGTGGGGTCTTCAGAAAGTTCATGGAAAATGTATATTATGAAAAAGCTAGGCGTGGGTTTCAAATTCTTTTCTGCACCAAAATAAAGTTACCTTTCAATTTCAGCTTTCCACAAACATTGGGAGGTGCCCTGGTACACCGGGTGCTTTCCCAAGCACTTTTGTCCACTTGCCATCCTATAGGATGGGCACCATGGCAGGAATTCCTAGTGAGGAAACTAGGAGTCTTCGACGGTGAGTGGTGTGCCCAACAGCCCACGGTTGGGGACGTGCCTCGTGTGTGCTCTGCACCGAATCACAGTGCCTGCTGCCATCTGTGAGGCTCTCGAGCAGTGGGGGAATGGCTGTCCACCGGGGTGAGTGGGGACAGACAGAGGCGGTCCTCAGTTCTCATTCGATCCAACTCTGAGTCGTGAAGCCTTGCCTTCCATCTTTCCTCTGTGTGTAATTGGCCTTGTGGTTGAGAATCACAACTGTCTTCAAACTGCTGTGTCCATAGACACCTCCCAGGGATTATTCCATATTTTTGTGGAACAGAAATACTTTGAGTCCTAAGGAAAACATGGACCTGTGTGTATTTGGCAATAAAGAGACACAGGAAGGAGAATTGTGGATTAGGGAAATTGGTTACCTACGGATGAGGGAGGGGTGGGAAGGGGTGAGAGGGATGTAGGAGAAAAGGACTTTTTGTGCTGTTTTATGTGGTTGTATTTTTTTAAATGCGCTGATGTTTTATCATTTTTAACTATAATTAAACCCACACGGATGAAAACTGAGGCAAGTTGAATTCCAACAGAAACAAACGAGTAAGAATCACACTGAGGAAAATGTAAATAATGAATTCAACCAACTTTTGAATGCAGTACTTTTTCATTCTCAGTCTAAAGGCAAAAAATATCTACAAACAGACCTTGAACCCTGACCTGGCACATTTGCTATTGGTGGAGGTACGCATGTATCAATTCTGGAATTACTTTGTGCGTTGTTGCTCCATTACTGAGCAAAAAGCCACTATTTTTGATTTGGAGGGAGGATCCAGAATTCTCACTCTTACAGACAGAGGATACAAATACGAAGTAGGGAAAAGCAAAGGCCCATGGTGTGCGATTGAGATTAGTGGTTACACTGGGCTCTGTCCATTAAAATGCAATGAGACTCCTGTTCACAACGCACAGATCTTGGGTTCTAAATAGCATTCCCTGACAAGGACTTCTTGCAAATATTGCTGACTCCAGGGCTAGGCCGGGAAAGAACAGAGACATTTTATTGCTCTTAAAAGTAAGAAAATGCGGCCAGCGCTGTGGCTCAATAGGCTAATCCTCCACCTAGCGGCGCTGGCATACTGGTTTCTAGTCCCGGTCGGGGCACCGGATTCTTTCCCGGTTGCCCCTCATCCGGGCCAGCTCTCTGCTGTGGCCCAGGAAGGCAGTGGAGTATGGCCCAAGTGCTTGGGCCCTGCACCCCATGGGAGACCAGGAGAAGCACCTGGCTCCTGCCATCGGATCAGCGTGGTGCGCAGGCCGCAGCGTGCCAGCCGTGGCGGCCATTGGAGGGTGAACCAACGGCAAAAGGAAGACCTTTCTCTCTGTCTCTCTCTCTCACTATCCATTCTGCCTGTCAAAAAAAAAAAAAAAAAGGTAAGAAAATGCTCATAAATGATGGGAGCATGTTGCAAGAGTGTAGAAACATCTTGAAAGGGGTCCCACTGGCCAAATCTGCGATAATTTGAACCTCGAAATAATTAAGATAATGATGGATTATAGCCAGTGAAAACCTCATTAATTCATATTTTTTCCAGAGTCACAGTTCCAGAATTTTTATATTTGACAAATGTGAAGGAGGGTGTGTGTGTGTGGGGGGGGGGGGTATCTCTCTGTTTCCCAGCTCTTTGGAAAAGCCTAGGACCAAGGAGTCCAAAATCAGTGATAAGATTTCCTCAGCTGAACTCAGGACAGAGGATAAGAGGCTGAGCGTGGTAAGGAAAACCCTCCAGCGGCCCCAGGGGCAGTGGGTAAGAGCTCGGGGGTGCCCTGGGAGCAGCGCTGAACTCACTCAGGGTGCCAGGGTGCCGGGGGAGCCGGTTAGGTGTTAATGGACATCTCTCCCTGTCTCTGCTCTCAGACGCGGAGCTGAGGATGCTTTTGCGATCCTGGATGAATCCCACCCGGATCTCTTCAGGGTCCTCACCATTCCAGTGCACCAGCAGCTTCAGCTGGCTCCAGGGCGGCGCCAGAGCCAGCCTTCCCATCTCCACTGCAGAGCCTGGCTTGTGACGTGCGGTCAGCAGGCACTGCGTGTCCTGTAGGAGCTGCTGCTGCACCAAGCAGGAATAGCACACGTTGGGTCCCTTCAGTTGGCTCGGGATGTGGGCACTGAAGACCATCACTGCTCCCTGGGCGTCCTTCATCAGGGCTGGCCAGCGGGTCTCAAACTTTGTATCCCCGCGGCAGTCCCATAGCCTGGATTCGCAGCCCCTTCCTTTGCTGTTGCTGTGAGCTCTGGGTTCTCAAACTCCCCGATCCTCACCGCCCGGGTTGGATTATACTTGGTGATGTCAGAAGACTCGGTCAGGACATTGGCCAAAACAGTTTCCCACCTTCACAGGGCCCCACGAAGAAGATCTTGGCCATCAGCATCCCCGCCAGCCACCCCGGAGCCCACCAGAGCATTTATTCATATTTATACTAAAGCAGTTAACTAGAAAAGCAACATTGGGGCCGGCACTGTGGTGTAGCGAGTAAAGTCACTGCTTGCAGTGCCAGCATCCCTTATGGGCGCCGGTTTGAGTCCTGGCTGCTCCACTTCCAATCCAGCTCTCTATTATGGCCTGGGAAAGCAGTAGAAGATGGCCCAAGTCCTTGGGCCCCTGCACCTGTGTGGGAGACCTGGAAGAAGCTCCTGGCTCCTGGCTTCGAATCGGCGCAGCTCCAGCCATTGCAGCCAATTGGGGAGTGAACCAGCGCATGGAAGACCTCTCTCTCTCTCTCTCTCTCTCTGCCTCTCCTTCTCTTTCTGTGTAACTCTGACTTTCAAGTAAATAAATAAATCTTTTTTCAAAGCAACATTTTGCAACCTCAAAGTACTAATAGATTGAGGAAGGAATCATCAGTGGGTACTCAGACACTTAGGGGAAAGTCTGGAAGTGAGGTGTCTCCTCACAGATGACTTATTAATTGAAAGGGAAAAATAGTCCAGCTCCTTAACCAACTGATGAACATCCGCATTGCCTGGGGCCAGCCCTGTGGCACAGCAGGCTAAGCTTCAGCCCAGGATGCCGACATCCCATAGGCATCCCATATCAGAATGCAGGTCTGAGTCCCAGCTGCTCTGCTTCTGATCCAGCTCCTTGCTCATGCTCCTGGAAAGGCAGTGCAAGATGGCCCAAGCACTTGGGCCTCTGCCACCCTAGACACCTGGATGGAGCTCCAGGCTCCTGGCCTTGGCCTGGCCCAGCTCCTGCTGTTGTGGCCAGTTGGGGAGTGAACCAGCCGATGGAAGATCTCTCCCTCTCTCTCTCTCTCTCTCTCTGCCTCTCAAATAAATACATAAATCTTAAAAACTTAACATTGCTAATACTGGAAGACACTGGCATCGGTGTGGTTTCTGGTGGGATGTGCCTAGGATACAACCCAGACGACTGGATGGAACTGAATTTCCATAGTGGGGGACATGCACTGGAAATCTGGAGGAGAAAGTCAATGGCTGCATCAGGCCGCATCCGTTCTCCAGCTCTCTCCTGAAAGTGATCCCACAACCAGAATTTTACAAGACCGAAGCAGAACTAACAAAGTTCTGCTGGGCAGTGCCTTGTGTACAGTACGTGCTGCTTTCTCGGCTGTTTCAGAGAAGGGCTCATTTTACTAAGAAGTCATTGCCTTTGGAAGGCTGGCAATTCTCATTAGTAACCAGGTGAGTGAGTCTAATAAGCGACGTCTCCTGACCTCGCTAGGGAGGCCATGGAACAGCATGTATGGTGGATGTTTCCCTACCTTGAAAACCAAATAGGACCAGCATGCACATAATTGAAAGATAATTGACGCGTATTTTCCAAGATGCATTTTTTTTCTCCCGTGCACACAAAAGAGACCGGGGATTCAGGGACGAAGTCCTTGAGGCCCAGGAGACAGCTGTGCTGAGGGGCGCCTTTCCCTCTCCTGGAGACACAAAGTGAGCACCAAGCGATGCAATGCCCCGGGGGAGCGCCCTAGCACTGCTGGCATGAATGACCACAGCTGGCTGCCTTCAGACTGCTACCTTGATGGCTCACAGTCCAGGAAGCCAGAAGTACAAGACCAGTGTCGGCAGGATTGGTCTTCCCAGAGGCTGTGTGGGGGGAATCCCTCCCACACCTTTGTCCCGGACCCTGGGCACGGCCGGCAATGCTCAGCACTCCTCGGCCCATTGTGGACCCCCTCTGGTTTCTTTTTTTTTTTTTTTTAAAGATTCATTTCGTTTATTTGAAAGAGTTACAGAGTGAGAGGGAGACCCCCAGAGACAGGTCTTCCATCTGCTGGTTCACTCCCCAGATAGCCACAACAAGTGAGGCTGGGCCAGGCCAGAGCCAGGAATCAGGAACTCCATCCGTGTCTCCCACATGGGACCTGGGGTACAAGTTACTTGGGCCATCTTCCACCACTTTCCCAGGCACATTAGCAGAGAGCTGGATCAGAAGTGGAGTGACCTGGACTTGAACCCGTGCCCATGTGGGATGCTGGCTTCACAGGCGGTGGCTTTATCCGCTATGCCACAACACCAACCCCATCCCTCTGACTTCTGCCTGCGTCTGTCTCCTGCTGTGGCAGACTATGGGTCTCCAACTCATTATAAGGACACCAGTCCTTGGCTTTGGGGCCTACCCTGATCCAGCGTGACTACATCTTAGCTTGATGACAGGTGCAAACACCTTATTTCCAACAAACATCACACTCTAAAGCTCTGGGAAAGACAATTTAATCCAATGCATTACCTAAAATCCACATCTTCCTGCCCTTTACTTCCAGTTAGAATTTCCGAAGCTACATTTATAGTGAGACACTATCAAGAAATTAACATTGAACTTACAGTCAGACACTATCAGGAAATTAACACGGAACGCAGGAAACGCCTGGAGGCAGCACCTGGCAGATGCAGAAGACCTGCTTGCAGGCAGAGGTTCTTAACCTTGGCCTGTGCTGGGACCCCTCCAGTTTTGTAAAATCTGGATGAGCAGGCATTGGTGGTTTTTAAAGCATGCCAGATGGTTCCAAGGAGCAACCAAGGATGCAGGCTCCCAGGAACTCCGGGGACTCTTCCAGGCTGAGCAGAGCAGGGGGCCTCGCCAGCTCCTGGCTGCAGACCTGCAGGTGAGCGCTCCCGCTGACTACAGAGAATTTGCACTGGCGCATGCGCATTTGATTTCCACTTTTTCATTTTGTTTGAAGGAAGGCGAACTCCAAAGTTAATAAGGAAAAAGAACATGAGTAGGGGAATGTGTGTGAATAGGTTTAACATTTCATGCTGGATCTCAGAAACAATTTTTGTACGTATCTGTGCTCATCATAGAAATTTGAGAATTTGGGGCAGACGCTGTGGCTCAGCGGGTTGAAGCCCTGGCCTGGAGCGCCAGCATCCCATATGGGCGCCGGT